CACTGCGCTCTATTGGTTTGGTGGGCTAATGACGGCTTGTGGCCAGACTAGGGCTGGCCAACAAGGACCAAACCTATATCTCTATCTTTTAGCAGACTTCTGATATACAATATATATTTTGATATTTTTCATCCTGTAAAATATTTTCAAGTTAACTCCCTTCATCAGCAGATTAATCAGCAGCTCTCTGTACCGGTTTCCTGATTACCCAGGGGAGGGGTTTGGTCTATCTCTCCACACAAGCAGGATACACCAATTTCTGTCAGCAACCACAATGAAAAGGTTCACTAAAACATGAACGAACGTCTCCAAATAAATATAAACCACAAAGCCAAATGCAAAGATTAGAACATAACTTTTACCCAGGGGTTTCCCGATCAAACAGACACGTTAGAATACTTGTAATGACTGCTTATAGAGACAGAGCAAGCTAGCGGATAGCAGTAGCTAGGCCTGCTAACTCTAGAAATACACTGGTTGTAAATTTATATCGATAAACGATAGTGAGTCAGCTTGTTTCATGTTTGAAATTATATCGATATTTTAAAAATAACGATATGTTGCCCATCCCTAGGCCAGACTATATATTTATATATAGGATGGCTTGTCAGGCTAGCATTTTCCTTTTTCAGCTGCTAATTTAGAGTTTTACTCTGAAAATCTCGTAAAGCGACAATGGAAACTAGTTTCATCACCAGGCCCTGCTCTTCTTCCGGAAGCTAGTCTCTGGTCTGACACCTGTGTTCTCTGGCCAGCACATGATATGTGGCTTAGGTGACTGGTGTCATAGCAGACTTGGTAGTCCAGTGGTTAGTGCGCTGGGCGGGATGCCTTAACCACTGGACTACCATAGACGCTGTTGTAGGCACGTTTTGTAGACGAGGGCGTGGGCGGAGTTTCACTGAAACACAGCGTTATTTTTTTTCCAGGTTTAATTCAGGTAGACTAAAATAACTCGTATTTAAGATAAATGACATTTCAGTAGTGCCATTGGTAATATTTTATCATATACTGTGCTTACCTTTTGCTCTCAACGGTTTGAAATAGCATGACTTGGAACCTTTAATAAACAGCAGCTTAAAAATATTTTCATTAATCTTTTTACTACTTTGAAAAACTTCTTATAAACGTGTGTTTTTACAAGAAAACACACCACAGGGCTGAATGACAGACAAGGAACTACCCACCCCAGCGCTGAATTAACTTCCCTGATTGATCACCCTCAGTGGGAGACGTTTATCGTCTTTTCTCCTTTCTTATCTCTGTAAACGTCCATCTGAGAAGCTTAATGTATGCGCCTCTGCTGCGGCTTGCTTTTGTCTACTAGTCGTAAACCAACGTGATTTGTTTCCTTGTTTTGCCCTTTAGACAATGAAGATTAAGCTTTTCAGACATTTGAAGTTAAAAAGGCACAGAGAAAGTTCAAAAAACAAGAGCAGCAGTTAATCTCCGTAAATCGTCAGACAGATTACATCCAGAGTCTCTCGGTGTGACGGTTACCTTCAGACAGCACCAGCGAGTCCTCTCCAGCCACATCAAGTCACACGAGGCCAGTGGGACAGAGAGACTCAACACTGATCCGATGTGACTCTCTGAGTGCCAATCTCCACTTTGAGCAAAACACTAACTTTGACAAATTTGCCCGAATACCAGCGAGCTAAGTATAGGCGGAGTAGTGAGTGTTTCTGTGGCACATTGTGTGGTGGGGCAGATGGACGGACGTCTACTTGTCACATAAATAGAACATGCTTAACACCTTCAGGAATGCTGATGGTGAAAGGGAGAGGCAAGTGATGGGAAGAGGAGACATTGGGATGGCAAGTGGGAGTCAGAAGAAGGAAAGTAGGGATCATGATGTCATCTGGGTGTTCAACTAAAAATTGTACAAACATTTTTATCAGTTACAAAAGTAGAAAAACGTTTCATGTTGATCTGTATTTTTCTGCAACACCACTATGCTGTCATTGGGCCATTAAATGGTAAATGGCCTGCATTTGATGAAGCCTCTTCTAGTGATCTCCAACCCCCCAAGGCTCTTTACAACACAATCAGTCATTCACCCATGCACACACACATTCACACGCTGGTGGTGATGAGTTACAGTGTAGCCACAGCTACACCAGACAGACATTTGCATTTTTTTATACTTAACTTAATGGAAAAACTTCGGTCAGACGCTTCTGAAACACATCCAGTGTTGTCACAAGATCTTGTTGTTCCGTCATGGTGAAGGTGGTAAAAACTTCTGCCAGTGAGCAGTCAGACTTTGAATTGCAACACACAAAAGAAACAAAGTAAATATTTGCATGTTAATCCTCAATAGAAAATCTATACACTGCTTTTATACCTAGATTCAATGTCTGAACACAAAATAGTGCAATATTTCAGTGTATTGTTATTTTCTTACATTCTTACTCAAATTAATGTAATATCGATATTGTTTACCGGCTATAACAGTGATTTGAATATCGGATATAGATATCGACCTACTATTTCACACCAATGCATGTTGAAAGGGTGAACTCTGCATTATTTCCTCTCACATGTGACAGTTTTCTTTAACCTTGCTATTAGGGCTGGACAATAATTCAGTAACAATACATACTGACCGATAGACGTATGGCGTGATCGAAAAAAAAGGATCAATACAATTTTTTTTTAAAGTTTCCTTTCTTTTTTTCTTTTCTATACTACCGAGTAGCTTAATACTAGAGTTAATACTTACTCCCAGCCAATCAAAAACACAGACCCAGGTACTCTCTGTCACCAAGCCCTACCCTCTCAAATGGAAACAGGCAGCAGCAAGGGGAGGTGGAGGAAATAAAAAAGGTTACAGTAGCTCACCAACCCGTTTTTGACGAAAGACACAAAACAGAGAATCTAGTCTAGTGACACAACCAACTTGTTTTATCATAAAGTAACAACATCAAGTGTCCAGGGATGCACTTAGATTATTTTCCACATTTTTATTTTATATTTATAAAAATGTTTTGATCTTGATCAAAATGAATACTTTTTTTTATTGATGTGCGTTTTTCTACATCGTCCATCCCTACTTGCTATGATTTTATCCTGAATGTATTTTAAAGTTTAAAATTTGTAATTGGACTATTTTGTGAAGTCAGCTTAACTCAACTCAAACATTCCAATAGTTTAAAGAGAACGGACATTTCTGGTGGGTTTACAAACTAACCATTAGCTTTTATTAGATATGCTCAGAATGACTTTTCAATATGGACAGATTTGAACGTAGGATGAAAGCTTTGGTTTGCAGTGAATGTTAGTGAACCTTCAGTGTAACAGCTGCTTTCTAGGACAGCGTCTTGAATGGTCATATGTTGGACCTCATGATGCTAACTGCGTCATTTGCTGTAGGGATCAGGTAGAAATGCTGATCGCCCTCAGGCCCAGTCAGCATAGGAAAAAATTAAACCTGACAGATAAAAGTCATCATCATTGATGACGTTGTTCACACAACACAGGTGGTGTTATGTGTTTTCTATCAGGTCCTCAGGCCATTGAAAATATGAAGAAGATTCTGTTTGTGTAGGCATGTGATAAACTGATGATCTTGTGCGTGCGCGTGCATGTGTGTGAAGCAGGAGGTCATGGCCTGTTTCTCTCCAGGTGTGTGTTTTTGGCCTGAAGGGAGATGGAACAGATGGTCCCTGTTTACATGTCCCAGTGTATTTGTGTGTGTGTGTGGTTTATATCACTTCCTTGCCCAGTGAGCTGCATCTAGAAACTAAATTTATTTATCAGAATAGTCCAACAGTTAAAACCTGAAAATGTGGGAGAAATTTCAAGAGCTTTGTCTGAACTGAGTTAGGTTGAACACATCTGGAGTCAGCGTTGTTTCAGAGAAGGAACAAACAGTCAAGCACGGTGGTGTTGTGTGATGGTCTGGGGCTGCTTTGCTGCTTCAGGTCCTGGACCTCTTGCTGCAAATGATGGAACCAAAGAGAATACATGACCTTTGACCTTAAACAGACTGTTAATGGAGAAAATGCATCCACTTTTGTAGAGAAATTGTGACAGAATTCCTCTGAACAATGTGAGCGACTTTGCTACTCCACAGCGGTGGAGTCAGTTGGGAGGTTTTACACAGCAGCAGGTTGGGTTTTACAGCTTTTTCCATAATAAATGAAAACAACATGTGGTATTTGTTCAGGTTAACTTTGTCTGACCTGAAACATTAAAGTGTGACAACAGAGTAAAAACAGAAGCCATGTTGTTGCTCCTGACGCTGAGCTGAGAGTTGATGATTTACTTCTAAACACCAGAAAAAATGTATATTTTATCCTTAGAGTGATTATAATAAATATCTAATCCACATTAATGAAGTGTCTTATTTGTGCACCAACAGCTGCTCAGTTTGCTCCTGTTAAAGGGAGAGCCTGGATCAAATGACCACTTTGTGTGTCTAACTGCTCATGTGACCACTGACCCGAGGACAACGTCACTGTCTCCTAGGAAACGTCGAAGGCTGAGTCATGACTCATTTTTATCATATCCGCCCCAAATCTCTGAGTTGCACTCTGGAAGTGCTGTGGCGATGTTGACGTGAACACGCTCAAACCCAGTGAACCGTGCAAAGAGGGCAGACAGTTCAGGAGCGCTGGGAGATTAGAGCGTCCACCAGAGAATTCAGAGGCACTTATCAGAAGAATATGTAAAGCCATGCATATGAATTAGATTTAACCTTTTGAGGTGAACCTCTCTAAGGGCAGCAAAGTGCTGAACCAAGTCTGGCTGTTTTGTTTCAGATTTCTTTTTTTCCTCATCTTTCCGAGCTGCCATAGGCATCTTTTATAAGCTACAGTTGCTAATTTCTTATGTTATAATTTTTATGTTGAGTAATTAGCTTTGGTATTGAAAAACTGCGGAACAACAAGCTATTTCTTTGAAAGAATTGAGCCTGGTTAGAAGTGTGTAATTTTGCACCATAAGTGCACCGATGTTCACTAATCAGTGGTCTTTGTGTCTCTCCCTCTCTTTAGGCGATCCCATCATCCCAGGTTTTGTGCATCATCTCACTGCCTTTGTCCACACGATACTCTGCTGATTGCTCCTTCAGAACCGAGCCTATGGATTACCGCGTGTGTTGGAAACGCCGTGACCACAGCTTTGTCAACATCGTGACAAACTCCAATTAAAAAACAAACAAACAAAAAAAAAAGAGCAGAAGACTGAATGAATTTGATTGTTCTCGTTTAACTTCTCAGCTTCCGTGGGACATTTTTTGACAGATCTCAGCTCTCTCTCTGCCACCATGTATGGTAGTTCCCGTTCCGTCTCAAAGCTGGATGTTGTTGGGTCCAACGGTAACGGGTCGGGGAGTCCTGGCCGATCGCCCCGGCTCCCTCGCTCCCCTCGCTTAGGGCACCGGAGAAACGACAGCAGCAGCTCCACCGGTGGACTCACCGGCTCTGGTAAAACTCTATCCATGGAGAACATCCAGTCTCTGAATGCTGCCTATGCCACAGGTGGCCCCATGTATTTCACTGACACAGCTGAAGACCACCAGATCATGGGCAGCGGGCTGAATTCCAGTGCACCCAAAGGCACCATGACCCTGGGCAGAGCTGGAGCCAGGGTCCCCTATGGGGTCAGGGCTGCCGTCATGGGCAGCAGTCCTAATATAAACATTGTGGGAGGGGTGGGGGGTGGTGGAGCCATCATGCCCAGTGATGCAATAGCTTTTGGTGGAGAGATGCAAACACAACCTCAACAAGCAGCTACGGTGCCTCACTCCACGAGACAGGTGAGGCTCAGCAGTGTTTTTAGTTTTTTTTATGAGTTTGTGAACTAAAGGTCAGGAACTCTGCTGCAAGTGTGGCCAATGAAGGAAATAAAAGAGAATAAAACCAAACCCAGATAAAGTCAGTTGTGATGCTTGTAAATACTTTACAACATTCATTATGTCCTCTCCTTAGATAATTAATAAGAATCTCATTAAATATAAAAGAAAAACATTTTTAGTCGTGCGGATAAACTCTGAGGCCTGCTCAGGATGTAAGATGCTTGAACTGAATTTAGCCAACTCTTTAGTGGCTAAGGTTGTCCTCTGTAGCAAAGCTCCTGCTATAAAACAGAACCGTGTGGGCATTGTTGGTCCTTTAGGTCTCCTCTGCTCTGTGAATCATCCTCTGATTTTCTCAAGATGCAGCTCTCCTCTTCCATCCACATCAGATTACCCTGCAAACAAAACAGTCCTCTCCACATCGTCCCCTCTGTCTCACTATGTCTTGTCCTCTGTCTCACAATTTCTCCTCCTCTGTTTCACTGTCTCCCCCTCTCTTACCGTGTCTCCTCTCTGTCTCACTATGTCTCCTCTCTGTCTCACAATGTCTCCTCTCTGTCTCACAATGTCTCCTCTCTGTCTCACAATGTCTCCTCTCTGTCTCACAATGTCTCCTCTGTCTCACAATGTCTCCTCTGTCTCACAATGTCTCCTCTCTGTCTCACAATGTCTCCTCTCTGTCTCACAATGTCTCCTCTGTCTCACAATGTCTCCTCTCTGTCTCACAATGTCTCCTCTCTGTCTCACAATGTCTCCTCTGTCTCACAATGTCTCCTCTCTGTCTCACAATGTCTCCTCTGTCTCACAATGTCTCCTCTCTGTCTCACAATGTCTCCTCTCTGTCTCACAATGTCTCCTCTGTCTCACAATGTCTCCTCTGTCTCACAATGTCTCCTCTCTGTCTCACAATGTCTCCTCTGTCTCACAATGTCTCCTCTCTGTCTCACAATGTCTCCTCTCTGTCTCACAATGTCTCCTCTGTCTCACAATGTCTCCTCTCTGTCTCACAATGTCTCCTCTGTCTCACAATGTCTCCTCTCTGTCTCACAATGTCTCCTCTCTGTCTCACTATGTCTCCTCTCTGTCTCACTATGTCTCCTCTCTGTCTCACTATGTGTCCTCTCTGTCTCACAATGTCTCCTCTCTGTCTCACAATGTCTCCTCTCTGTCTCACTATGTCTCCTCTCTGTCTCACAATGTCTCCTCTGTCTCACTATGTGTCCTCTCTGTCTCACAATGTCTCCTCTGTCTCACAATGTCTCCTCTCTGTCTCACAATGTCTCCTCTGTCTCACAATGTCTCCTCTCTGTCTCACAATGTCTCCTCTCTGTCTCACAATGTCTCCTCTCTGTCTCACAATGTCTCCTCTCTGTCTCACTATGTCTCCTCTCTGTCTCACTATGTCTCCTCTCTGTCTCACAATGTCTCCTCTCTGTCTCACAATGTCTCCTCTCTGTCTCACTATGTCTCCTCTCTGTCTCACAATGTCTCCTCTCTGTCTCACTATGTCTCCTCTCTGTCTCACTATGTCTCCTCTCTGTCTCACTATGTGTCCTCTCTGTCTCACTATGTCTCCTCTCTGTCTCACTATGTCTCCTCTCTGTCTCACAATGTCTCCTCTCTGTCTCACAATGTCTCCTCTCTGTCTCACAATGTCTCCTCTCTGTCTCACTATGTCTCCTCTCTGTCTCACTATGTCTCCTCTCTGTCTCACAATGTCTCCTCTCTGTCTCACAATGTCTCCTCTCTGTCTCACTATGTCTCCTCTCTGTCTCACTATGTCTCCTCTCTGTCTCACTATGTGTCCTCTCTGTCTCACTATGTCTCCGCCTCTCTGTCTCCCAGCATCCTGCTCTGGTTTGTGGTGAGGATGCAGATGCTTGTCCTTCTTTTCTTACCACACACACACACACACACACACACACACACACACACACACACACACACACACACACACACACACACACACACACACACACACACACACACACACACACACACACACACACACACACACACACACACACACACACACAGATGTGGTTCTTGACCTGAAGCCAAAGCAGAATCTGTTGGTTTATAAAAAATTAACCCAGGATATTTTTAATTCTTTAATCCTCTGCTCATGTCAGGATGGGTTCAATAATTGATACGGGAACATTTTCTCATAAATATTGAATGATGTTACTCAGTAACTCCTCGTTTTCTTCATCCGTAGATCATGAATTATTTCTGTTCACCGACTTGGTTTAATTGTAGGAGCGATTAAAAGCGGCCGCACTTTTTAACAGCAGGTTGGTGATTGACTTCCAAACCAGCCTCTGCTACTAAACCAGCAAAGCTCTCCACCTTCTAACTGTGATCGACTCTTTTGAACTCTGGATCAAAACTTTCATCTGACTTTATGAAAGAGAATCAGGTGATTGATCAGCAAGTGTCATGGTCTGTTTTTAATGGTTCTTTATTGTGTGTGTGTGTGTGTGTGTGTGTGTGTGCTTGTGTGTGTGTGTGTGTGCGCGTGTGCGTGTGTGTGTTACTAGGTGAGAGACGGTGCGATGTCAGACCTGCAGACTCAGTTGAGAGAAGTGCTCAGAGAGAACGAGCTAATGCGCAGAGAAGTAAGGACGCTTTTCCACTCCCACACTGTCTAATGAACTTATTATTACTATATAATCACATATAATTCTTTTATTTGTTTACTTACAAGTGCTTCTGGATTTTTTGATTTCTTTTCCTTCAAATTAAAAGATTTCCAAACGCAGAGATGATAACTGTAAGATAGAAAAAGGCCAGTGTATGAATGAGTAGTGAGAAGAATGAACAAAATAAGTGTTTAGTCAAATAAAGTGCCAATGTTTGATGTTGTTTTCTTGTAGCTGGAGGCCAAAGAGTCCAAGCTGAGCTCCTCTATGAACTCTATTAAAACGTTCTGGAGTCCAGAGCTGAAGAAGGAGAGAGCGCTGAGGAAGGATGAAGCCACAAGGATGGCCGTCTGGAAGGAGCAATACAAGGTGGTGCAGGAAGAAACACAGGTAGGAAAAGTATTCTGTCCTATATATTTATTTATTAGCGCTCCATATGAATTGCATCACCCAAATCCTTGCAGACATGGACATTTGTGCCATGGAAACCACCAGGAAACGTCAAGGTGCAGTGTGTAGTTTTTAACCATTAATTTCTGGAAATATCCATCAAAATGTTGTTGAAATTGAATTAAATGATGACCAGTTTTAAAGACATCGTGTTAGATCAGCAGCCTGTAATGACACCTGGCTCTGCTCACTATAGGAGCCGCTTTACATGTTATTAAATAAATAAATATAATAACATACCAAAGAATTATCGAACCGAACTCTTTAAAACACTGAACCGAACCGAATATGATTTTAGCGTACCGTTACACCCCTAATAACCATAAAAATTGGGTCTAAAATACATGGGAGTGGGTCTAAGCCTCAGAGCGAAGCCATATTAGATGCCAGGTTTCCTTCTACGGGAGCCCGTGAGGATAAAATGCATTCACTGATTCAAAACAAACGGTTACGAAACCGTCATTCTTAAACATTGTTTTACACATTCACCTCTTTACTTTTTGTCAGTGATGAAAGGGAATCTGATGTGCTTGTTATTTAGCTAAAGTTGGCACTCCCCAGGGCTTTTTGACCCTAATGGGCATCCCTTGGTAAGGTCTTACTCAAAAATGCTGCTTGCTTGCAACGATTCAGGTATCTGCTGCCCCCTATCGCCGGGAAAAATACACACTGTCACTTTAAGGAAAACCATTGGAATTGATTGAATGCTTGAACCATTTTTTCTGCACTAACAAGTCCAAAGTACAAACTAACCTTCAACCAAACCTCTGTTTTTCCCTTTTAATCACGTCTACCTGGGACGGGATTCTCTGTGTGTGAGTTTTCAGGCCCGGGGGTGGGGGGTGTACACTCTTAATTTCACGGCATGTGTCGGTGAATTAGTCTGACGGCTAAAAGCCAGGACACACAGATGAAGCTGGCTGCCTGGTCGAGGGACTCCCAGCTGTCTGTTGGTGCTGCAGCCATCTGGGTGAGACAGAGGCTCTCCTCGTCTGGCAGCAGGCTGAAATATTATACAAGAGACGACACGCACACGTGTAGTCACTCGCACTGGCGTGGCGTCTGGATTTCTCTCTGCTGGGACCAAACTGGTGCAGGGTTTGGCTCAAGTCTTGCTTTTATTTCAGAAACCTTCTAATTCAAAGAGAATTCCGTAAAACGGCTTTAGTTTGTGAAACCAACGAACCAAAGTTGTTAGATTTGATGTGCAGTAACTAAGACTCGCTCCTCCCTGGGTGTGGGTTCTACCGGAGAACAAGTGGACGTGTTGTGACGTGTGAGAGCGTCTTCTGATGCTGCAGAAATATCCCCAGTACCGTTTTCCATTCAGCTCTGGCTTCTCGTTTCCTGTTTTGTTTTTCAATCTTAGTCACAAACTTTCTCATCTATTTCTGTCACCGCATTCAGTTTTCTGTTCTCCCTCTTTACGTCCTCTCCATCTCTGCCATCATCTCAGGAAGCAGCCAGCTCACTCCCCCGTTGAGGAATTCTCATCCCTCCTCCTCACTTTCACCTCCTCCCTCATCCTTGACTCATTATCTTCTTCTCTCATTTGCCAACTTCTGTATTTCTCTCTCCCTATTCCATCTGCACTCTGTGGTTTTTTTTCGCCATCTTCCAAACATTTAAGAACTTTTGGGATGTGATAGAACGGGAGGTTCACCTCACAAACATGCAGCTGACTAATCTGCATCTGTGGGACACCGGCATGTCGGTATGGAGCCAAACCATTTGAAATACTGTGAAAAATTAAACCAGTTCTGGAGGTAATAGAGGTCCAAACTGGTACAAGCAATGTGTACCTATTAAAGTGGCTAGTGAATGTTTCAGCTTTTGTTACTAATGTGGGATTTTAACAGGTTTTAAGGCAGTAAAATCCGATAAAAGCACAATACTGACTTGAGTAAAAATCTACTGATACTAAAACACCATTAAGACCAGTTTTGGTTTGATTTACCAGTTTGGAAGTAAAATGCTGAAGATAAGAAGATAAAAACAATAGCTGCTTAAAAATGTGAGCAACTGCAGGAATTTAAAGTTTTGTTTTCATGCTGTAGCGTACCAAAAGGCCAAGTATTAAATCAAAATGACCAGAAGTGAACTTTCAACTTACAGGTCAATCTGACACCGTGGTGCCATCTGAAGAAAGGAACGTGAGCCAATATTCTTAACATCCTGCGTGCGTCATGAGTCCTCGAGGCTGCAAGATGCAGGACTCCTTATCGTTTACTCTCTGAATAAAGTCCATCTCCCCTGACATAAATGACTTTAAAATGTTAAAAATTCATATTTTGTTGAAAGAATAATATGTTTAAATCCAAAGTGCTTTATTAATGTGTCCTATACTTTGCATTGTGGGTTAAAATAAGTATTTTTCCTGTAATGATTCATTTCAGATCTTAAATTACACCAGATTAGTATTAGTCAAGGATTTGGGTTATAAAAACGAATTAAATTCTATTTTTCTAACCTATATCCTTGACGTTGTCTGAGTTAAGATGAAGTGTGTGTTCCCTGATTAGTCAAATAACCTAAGGTAATATTAAGTCAAATATCAGATTGATAATTCATATTTACATGGAATATCACATCTTACTGATCATTTAATTTAGCGTGTAGCCAATCCCTAACGCTGCAATGCTGACTCTGTTATAGTGTCATTTTAAAATGCAGTAGAAAAGACCTTTATTGAAAATTACTGGTGCGTTTGTTCTTGACTACGATGGCAACAGAAACAAATTAAATGTGTGATCTTAGATTAGGAAGCTGGTGAAAATCTAGAGGTTTTTGCTTTAGTGTTCAGATTCGTGCTGCATCTAAAGTCTCTTCTGCTTTACTGCTGAGTCCTTTCTTTTGTTCCTCTGTGCCTGCCCACTCACATCCTGTAACATTCTCTTATCACAGCTTCTACAAATATTCACAACCCTCTCCATCTCTTCTTTGCTCGTTGCACTCCCCCAAACCCCTCCACCTTCCCGACCCTCCATCTGGGCCCGTGGAGCCAACGTCAAATCCATTCATCGGCATGCAGGTGTCCGGTCTAATCAGCGTCCCATTTGTCTTGTTTATTGTCCTGCCTAGTGTTGTTTTTCAGTTGTGTGGGTGTGTGTGTGCTTGTGCATGTGTGTGCGTGTGTGTGTGTGTTGGTCCAATTTGTTCCACCTCCTTGATCACAGTAGGTAAGAATGATGTTTTGTGCAAAAAGGAGATGCTATGGGGAAAAAAAGGAAAAGTTGAAAGGAATGTCAGGAATTCTGAAGAAAAGACTATTTCTACCCCCCCCCCATAATTTCCTTCCTCCTGCTAGTTTGCTTCTTACCCACAGATGCCAGATTTTAACCTTTCATTCAAAATATCTTTGTGTTTTTTAACGATTGTAACATTGACAAGTTGCTTTGATGCAACATCACAGTTTCCATTTGACATTACTTTCTTTCTTCCTCCCTGTTGCATGTAAGATACCACACAGTCACGCTTCTTAATACATCTGACCTTTGGCCTGGAACCATTTTCCTCAGGCGGTGCCCAACCATCATTGGTTGTCGACCCTTAACCGCTACGCCCTCCAGTTAGCGGGTCAGCAGTGGTGGTCAGGCCACTGCCATAGACATATAATGTAATTGTGGACATAGCACCACCCATTCCTCTCATTTCTCTAAATGAAGCAAAATGGGCGGTTCCCATCACTGCCACATTTGTCAAATGAAGCAACTGAACAGCTACTAGCTAACTGAGCTAACCCCGGAAGCTAAGATGGACCTCCAGGGCAGCAGACCCGCGCGGCTGTCTGGCTTCCGTGCGAGGCTGTAGTCGTGCTGGCTGCCTCCGGAGCTCTAACATGGACTGATAAAGAGACAATGTGTAGTTTTTACCATTAATCCCTGGAAATATCCATCAAAATATTGTTGAAAATGAATTAAATGATTCCCAGTTGTTAAGAAATATTGGCGGCTTTGTAACATACAGGTCCTTCTCAAAAAATTAGCATATTGTGATAAAGTTCATTATTGTCTGTAATGTACTGATAAACATTAGACTTTCATATATGTTAGATTCATTACACACAACTGAAGTAGTTCAAGCCTTTTATTTTTTCTAATATTGATGATTTTGGCATACAGCTCATGAAAACCCAAAATTCCTCTCTCAAAAAATTAGCATATCATGAAAAGGTTCTCTAAACGAGCTATTAAAATGATAAATGACCCGCACTTGTATAGCTCCTCTCAGAGTAAGGACTCCAAAGTGCTTTACACCACAGTGTATCATTCATCCATTCACACACACATTCACACACTGATGATGATGATGAGCTACAATGTAGCCACAGCTACCCTGGGGCGCGCTGATAGAGGCGAGGCTGCCGAGCACAGGCGCCACCGTTCCCTCCGATCACCACCAGCAGGCAAGGTGGGTTAAGTGTCTTGCCCAAGGACACAACAGCAGAATTCACTGTCCATTGCCGGGATGGAACCTGCAACCTTCCGATAACTGGACAAACCGCTCAACCTGTTGAGCTACTGCTGCCCCAAACCTAATCATCTGAATCAACTAATGAACTCTAAACACCTGCAAAAGATTCCTGAGGCTTTTATAAACTCCCAGCCTGGTTCATTACTCAAAACCGCAATCATGGGTATGACTGCTGACCTGACTGCTGACCAGAAGGCCATCATTGACACCCTCAAGCAAGAGGGTAAGACAGAAAGAAATTTCTGAACGAATAGGCCGTTCCCAGAGTGCTGTATCATGGCACCTCAGTGGGAAGTCTCTGGGAAGGAAAAAGTGTGACAGAAAACGCTGCACAACGAGAAGAGGTGACCGGACCCTGAAGAAGATTGTGGAGAAGGACCGATTCCAGACCTTGGGAGACCTGCAGAAGCAGTGGACTGAGTCTGGAGTAGAAACATCCAGAGCGACCGTGTACAGGCGTGTGCAGG